AAACAATTCCAGACACATAGTAGGTGCTCAGTAAACACCAGCATCCTTATCTTCTTTAAGGATGTGCTTGGTCTACATAATCCCCTTTCATTAACCAGAATACTTCTGCCTTCCACAGCCTAATTTATCATCAGACACTGCCTTTCCTGTTGAAAGCAAGATAGTCAAGTATCAAGTAGACTGAAGGAAAACTGTTTTCAGATCCCACTGTTGCCTCCAGTTGGTTGGCACTGTCATGCAGACTCTTTGAGACTCAATCTCCTTTTCTGTAAAATAAGAGAATTAAATTACGTTATCTCCAAGTCCACTTATGTTATAATTTTAAAAGATGTCCAAGGGAGAGGCTCCTTGAGGCAGGTCCTCAAAGAGTGGCAGTACTTTGATGGAGTAATCACAGCTTGTTCAGCTTTGTGATTCCCGACACTTCATCGGTTCGTTTTACTGAGTTGATTAGCCTCCGAGGGACTGATTCATGCTGACCAAACTCCCGGGATGTTGAGTGACAAAAATCCCAATTAATTACTTTATACTATGAAATGTGACTGGCTGCAGCACTAGAATGGTTCATCTATGTAGGACACTCTGTTCTGGGGAGGAAGTCCACGTAAGACATCAAATTACAGATAAGAGGTTTTTCCATAAGCATAGAATTAGAGCAGAGATAGTTTAGCTACTTGGTAGCCTAAGCAGTTGCCTTTGTTCTTTCTGAAGGTAATTTGGTCTAAAACAAACATCCGGGTTTATAGTGTAGCTTCAGATTAATATCGAGAAGTGCTTGATTTTGAGGCTCTGGTTTCGGTAACCCCACATAGATCATCACTCTGCTCACACATCCCCACTCCACCCCACCCACGTGTATGTCAAGCACTCTTTGCCGTAATGAGAGGGGGGAAAAATGTTTTCAGATCCCTAGGTTCTTTGTATTCTGCTCTTATATGCATATTGTTCATTCATTCAACAAACACTTAGAGCCCAACCAGTGTTTTACTTATCAGCATTGAAGTGGTCCTTTTGGACTTAAATGTCTTACTGTTTAA